CTAATGTGTTCAAAAAACTTTACAAGTTTTAGTATTTCTGCATACCAATCTATGGTAAGCAACCACTCAAAAATAGTTACAGTAAGATAGAATAACATTTAAATTTGAAGCACATTTAAATTAATTTACATGACAAAAGAAATAGAAAATCAGCATAACAAAAGACAACTAAAAAGGTAAATGCAATGAAATGTTTAAAAAGGTTTCTTACATTTTAATTTAAAAGCTATTAACTTCTTCATCTCCTTGTCTTTATTGAGATGACATTAAGATGATTAAGATATTTCTACATATATGTATTATTATCTGATCATGAAATAATCCAGAATGCACGGTGCCATTGTATTCCTCAAGCTGAATGAACTGAGGTCTGAGACAGACATTGGGAGCATGATGAATAATAGGATAGCTTTGGAACAGATTTAGGAGGCAAAAACCCAAGCCACATGATGCCAGAGTCCCATAAGATGACTGAACAGGAAGTATAGACAGCCATCAGGGTAATCACCCATCAATAGTTTCTTTGTTTTGGTATCACTGACACTAAGAACCATGGTCAAATACAGAGGACACCTAAACATGATCAAGGATGGATCTTCATCTCCTAAATGCAGCTGTACTATCTGTTCTTTGAGAACAGGAGATTTGTTTGGAGACTTTCTGAAAAGGAATTTGTCTTCCAAGGCTAGTGTCCTGGGGAGAGCAGGGGTGTCCTTTATGGAATATGCAGTTTCTGATGGAAAGAATACAAATCAGAAGTTGACCTGTTTCCACAAGAACAACTTACAGTCAGGAGTTAAGGAAAGATCATAAGTCTAATGATGAACTGCTAGAAAACTAGGTAATTGCTAATGAGAGAGGGGAACCTAAGGGAGGAGGAAGACCTTAGACCTTAAATGAGGGAATGCTCATTTTCTATGAAGTTTGCAGTATCAACGATTTTCTATACTATCCTATAAAATCTTATTTGACCACGATAGCCTACATGTGGCCATGGCATGCTATATGTTTACTGAGAAATAAAGTACACAGACACCTGTAACACCCCCCATCTTACATTCTGAAATCCAAAGTGCTCCAAAAGCCAAAATCATACTTTCTGAGCACTCACAAAATCCCACAAGTGGCAAAACCCACACCTGACCTCAGATGACTGGTTGTAGTCCAAAGATAGTACATTCATAATGTAAAAAGTCAACTTAGGCTGTGTGTACAAGAAACATATGAGATATAAATGAATTTCATATTTAGACCTATGCCCCTTCACCAAGATATCTCATTATGTATATGCAAATAATAGCAAATCTGAAACAAAATCCCAAATTGGAAATGCTTTTGGTCAGTGGCATTTCAAAATCAGGGACACCTGCTTATACTTCTAGGCAAACACTTTACCATCACACTGTATCCACGGCCTTCTCCAGTTAGATTTTTATAAAAAAAAATATCAAAAATCAAAACTTTAATATTAAAACATCCAAGACTAAATTTACCATGGGTCTTACCAGTTTTCCATATTTTACACTTTCGGAAATTCTTATGTCCACTGAACAGAAAGGGTTTTGAAGTGAGCAAGGCCTGAATTAGAAATATTTCATGTTTAGAAAAGGAGTAGACAGGGAGCAGTTTATCAGCCATCTTGTCCACAATTCCTCCCTCTGTAGTTCATAGTCTGGCTAACTCTCAGTTCTGTGTTAAAGTGTCCGTCTCATTAGGTCTTAGAATAAAACATGGCAGCCCTTCTCTCTTCCTCCTGATCTCTGCTCTGGAGTCGCCATGTGATCCAATGGCAAGAGAGGGAGCCAGTGTAAGGCGTCCTCTATAAGATAAGTCTTATAAAATATATAGATTTATGATAATTAAGACTGAGGTAGCAGATGAGAAATCCTAGTCATTGCCCAAGCAGCATTTGCACCTAATATAAGTCTCTGTGTGTTACTTGGGACCTTAATATGGCAGCAGGGGAACTCGGGTGGCCTGGCAGAAAGACCCCATGTGGTGGCAAGACTGGGGCAGCTTGGCAGAAATACTTATCATTACAGGCCTCTTCCACGGTAGGGAATTTGACACTGGGGCATGACTATTAAGCTGTTCAGCTCCAGGCTGTGTTAGTAGGAGCCTCTGCAAGGAAGAGCAATGGCTGCCACTGCATTAGCTTCTCACCTGAACCTGGATGCCCTCCAGGAAGTGCTAGAATGCCCCATCTGCATGGAGTCCTTCACTGAAGAGCAACTGCGTCCCAAGCTGCTGCACTGTGGTCATACTATCTGCTGACAGTGTCTGGAGAAGCTCCTGGCCAGTAGCATCAATGGTGTCCGATGTCCCTTTTGCAGCAAGATTACCCGCATCACCAGCCTGACCCAGCTGACAGACAACCTGACAGTGTTGAAGATCATCGACATAGTTGGGCTCAGTGAGGCCGTAGGTCTGCTCATGTGCTGAGCTTGTGGCCGGTGGCTGCCTCGACAGTTCTGCAGAAGCTGTGGTTTGGTGTTGTGGGAACCCTGCCAGGAGGCAGATCACCAACCTCCTGGCAACTGTACACTGCCGGTCAAGGAGGCAGCCGAGGAACGGCGGAGAGACTTTGGGGAGAAGTTGACTCACCTAAGAGAATTTATGGGAGAGTTGCAGAAGCGGAGGGTAGCCTTGGAGGGTGTCTCCAGAGACCTTCAAGCAAGGTATAAGGCTGTTCTTCAAGAGTATGGCCATGAAGAGCGCAGGGTCCAGGAAGAGCTAGCCCGCTCTCGGAAGTTCTTCACAGGCTCTTTAACTGAGGTTGAGAAGTCCAACAGTCAAGTGGTAGAGGAGCAGAGCTACCTACTCAACATCGCAGAGGTGCAGGCCGTGTCTTGCTGTGACTACACTCTAGCCAAGATCAAACAGGCTGATGTAGCACTGCTGGGGGAGATGGCAGATGAGCAGGAACCAGAGCTCACTGCCAACCTACCCCAGGAGCTTACCCTGCAAGATGTGGAGCTCCTTAAAGTCGGGCATGTTGGTCCTCTGCAGATCAGGCAGGCTGTTAAGAAGCCCCGGACAGTTAACATGGAAGATTCCTGGGCAATTGAAGAGGCAGCAGCATCTGCTGCCTCAGCCTCTGTTAGTTTTAAGGATATGGACATGAGCCCCGAGGAAGTGGTTGCCAGCCCTAGGGCTTCACCTGCGAAATAGCAGAATTCTGAGGCAGCCCCCGGTATCCAGCAGTGTCTCTTTCTCAAGAAGATGGGGGCAAACGGCAGCATCCCAGGTATGTTCAATCTTCTAGTCAGTCTCTATGTGACCAGTCAGAGTGAGGTGCTAGTTGCTGACTGTAGCAACTATTGTATCCAAGTGTTAAACCGCAATGGCTTTTTGAAGGAGATCCACCGCAGCCCCAGTGGCATTGACAGCTTTGTGTTGAGTTTCCTCGGAGCTGATTTGCCCAATCTCACTCCTCTTTCTGTGGCCATGAACTGCCATGGGCTGATTGGTGTGACTGACAGCTATGACAAGTCCCTTAAAGTCTATACCTTGGATGGCCTCCATGTGGCCTGTCACAGGAGCCAGCTGAGCAAACCATGGGGCATCACAGCCCTACCATCTGGCCAGTTTGTGGTGACTGACATAGGAGGCGGGAAGCTTTGGTGTTTCACTGTGGACCGAGGAGCAGGAGTAGTCAAATACAGCTGCCTCTGCAGTGCTGCGAGGCTCAAATTTGTCACCTGTGATGCGGAAGGCACAGTCTATTTCACCCAAGGCTTGGGTCTCAATGTGGAAAACCGACAGAATGAACACCACCTGGAGGGTGGATTCTTCATCGGCTCTGTGGGCCCCAATGGGCAGCTGGGCCGGCAGATCAGTCACTTCTTCTCTGAAAACGAGGATTTCTGCTGCATTTCTGATGTGTGTGTAGATGCTCGGGTGACCTCATTGTGGCTGATAGCAGCCGCAAGGAAATTCTCCATTTTCCCAAGGGTGGGGGCTACGCTGTCCTTATTCGAGAGGGTCTTACCTGTCCGGTGGGCATCGCCCTCACACCTAAGGGGCAGCTGCTGGTCTTGGACTGTTGGGATCACTGCGTCAAGATCCACAGCTACCAGCTGAGAAGATATTCCACCCCTTAAAGATGAGAAATGTCAGTTTCTTCTTTCCCCCAACCGAGTTTCTTTCCCTTTCCTTCCTTGGTTGTTGATGGTACTGTAGAGTAGATGTGGCCTATGTCCTGATTCTAGCCAGATTGCTGTAGAATCATAAAAGCTCTAGTTTTCAGTGCTTTTTATCTGTTATTATCCCTCTCCCCACTCCCCCTTTTCCTCTCTCCCAAATTTAGAGTTCCGACAGGTACCTTGTCCCAAATAGGATAGATGATGCTGTTAGCAGAAGTTGCTTAGAAGTTAGACACTTCCAAGGCTTTAGTAGACAGAGCCACTTTAGCCCTTTGCCCTTGTGTACAAGATTTTTATTGGTATTGAATCATCATTGATCTTTCTCCTCTGAACTCTGATCTCCCTAATCTACCAGTTCCTTCCTCTTATAATGTGCTTCATCTGTGATTCTTTAATTCTGGCTGCATTCTGTGTGCATGCTCCAGTGCGATCTGCTCTATCCTTCAGTGACAGTATATCTCTGTAGCATGGTGTCTCTTTGATCAACTTTATCAGTATGAGACTGAATCATTAAATGCCACCAAAGGTGACACACAGTCCCTTTGGGAAGCAGAGCCTCTTGGCTGGGGGATTTCTGCCACTATTGTAAGAACAATACACCTGGATGACCCTGACCCCGCCTCCTAACAATGGGGCATGCACCCGCCATGCATTGCAACCTGTGAGGACTCTTGCGCAGGTACAAAACCCCAGTACACATACACAACCTCCCCTTTAAAAGGTCCTGCCGCCCATCTCTCTTCCCTTCTTTCTGGCTCCTCTTGGGTTGGGTGACTACCCATCCCCCTCTCCCCCCCTTTCTGGTAAATAAACTCCACATGGGTTGTTCATCCGTTGTTCCTTTCTTTATATCAGCAGCTGCAGCTTAAACAAACAATAACATTTTGGCTCCCGGACATGGAAAGGCTCTGCCCTTGTACCTTCTCCTGCGGCCTGCTGGTGGGCTCGTGTTAGGTCAAGGGTACCCTTAACACACAGATTGACAACCCACACTCCATCTCACCGGTTTGCTGGGACTCTACATAC